TTTTTACAGAGTTTTCTTAACACAAAAATCCCATTTTCATATTTGATATTCAGCACACAGAGTTACAGGAGGGAGTGTTACAGTGATGATGCTGCTGTGGTTTGCTTTGCCCTTTAAAAAGGAGGGATAGTTGGTAAGTAGAACTACTGATTAAGTAGAACTGCTCTTTTTCATCAATCAATCAATCAGTCAATCAATCAACCAACCAACAATCAATCAATGAAACCTTAATTTAACCTGGGAGAACATTGTGGGTGACCCTCATTTACACTGTTGCCAAGTTGATACAGAAACAATGATGTGTGAGAACACATTAAAATAAAAGTAAATTTGATAATAAAATGACTCAAATCAGATAAGCATAAAAATTCAACATTAATAATAAAAAATAAAAAAACATAAAACAATAATTAAAGCATAATTAAAATGTTAAAGTTAATAAAATCAAAAGAAGATAAATAAAACAAAAGGAGAATAAGATCCAAAAAGGGAACTGAAATTAATTAAAATGACTGAAAAAATAATAAAATAATCAGAATTAAAATAAGAATAAGAACAATAATAAATAAACAAATAAATAAATTGAGAAATATAATAAAATAACTAAAATAATGAAAATAAGGCAATAATAGTGAAAATGAAGTAAAACAGATGCTTTAAAAAAACGTTCATATTAATAGATCATCATCATGACGGGTTTCTAAATGTGGTCACTGATGTTCTGAGTTTTTAAAGAACTTGATACCATTGTTTTGCTATTTAATTATCATGTAATTACTGCTATTATTACTATCTTATTTTTTTTTAGGAACAAATACAATATCAGCATGTCATTTAAAGCTTAGTTAAGCTTGTTACTATAATATTACCATGTAATTACCCACTTATTACTCATCTGTAAAGTAAAGGTACTACAAAAAACATCAGTGCGTAATTTCAACCAAGTCAGATCAACCAAAATTACTTAACAAGTAAACTACCTCATTTTATTCAACCTAAATATAAACTTTGAGTGAATGATTCTTTCAATCTGTGTAACGTTTTGAGTTGAATAAAACTCTTTTAATAAAACTCTTAATAAAACTATGATAAACTATTTTAATAAAACTATTTTAATAAAACTATTTTAATAAATTATTTTAATAAACTAATTTAATAAACTATTTTAATTGCTTTTTAAGGCCAGTTGTAATGTAAGTGTTTCAGGTTTAGGTTTAAGAGCTGCACCACAAACTAGCTTTAATGTTGAGTTTGTTTGTTATTAAATATTCACACCCCCCTGATTTCCTGACCAACACGGCTGATTGTGGTGTCTTTGGCGTGAATCGATGCTCGTCCTGTTCGCTGTGAGCAGGAAGGTAAAGGTCTTTCACAGCTGTGTGTATTTGTGTCTACTGTCTGTTTCTGCTGTGTGTCTGCAGATCGTCTCTAACCACATCCTGCTGAAGCAGGTCAGATTTCTCCAGCTGAGCACGACCTAAAATGACCTCCACAGCCACCTGGCCCCTCGGGTGCTTATGAGCCTCATCTTGAATTGAACATGTGACGGAATGGAATCTTTTGGTGAAGTAAAATAACCCAAAGACAAAACAACCAACCATGTGGATCAGTTTGATGGACCTAGTCTTGGACTAAACTGCTGTTACAGAAGGGGTTTCATCGTTAAACAGCTCAGTTAGTCTAAGTTTAGCCTCAGTCTGGCTCTAAGAGACTGGCCGCCCTCAGATTCCTGTCATTTCTGTGGAGGACTTTAGTTTTGTAGCTGTGCTTTCCAGACTGTTCATCTTTAAAAGCTTTAAGCATGTTATTCAATTTGTTTCTGGAATTTGTTTAAGCTAAAGCTTTTGTATATTAAGTCAGGTTCATAAGTATTTGGACAATGATACAATTTTTACAATTTTGCCTCTGTACCCCACCATGATGGATCTGAAATGAAGTCAAGATGTGATTACAGACCTTCAGCAAGAATACTGTATCAACCTTTAGCCATTTTTACACAGTCCCTCCATTTTCACTGGCTCAAAAGTAACTGGACAGTTGACTGCTGACAGGATTCTAAAGTGTACAGAGCTATAACTTCTGCTGAGATTCAGTCAAACGCTGCAAACTGAGAGGACGAAGCTTCACAGTCAACCCAAGAGATTCTTAAGGCAAAGAGATGCTCTTAAATGGCTGAGTCAGTCACCTGAGCTCAGCCCAGCTGAGCACAATCTTCACTTACTGTGGCAGAACTGAGGGCAGACAAAGCCACAAACAGGCAGCAGCTGAGGGCGGCTGCAGTAAAGACCTGACACAGCATCTCAAAGGAGGAAACTCAGCATTTAGTGACGCTAATGGGTTCCAGATGTCAATTGCAAATGATTTACATCCAAGAAATAAAAATAATCCTTTTGTGTACAATTATGTTAGTTTGTCCAGTTACTTTTGAGCTTGTAAAAATGAGTGAACTATGTAAAAATGTCTAATTCCTAAATGATTAAAGTAATATTTTTATTATCCCCTTAAAATCTCAGGGACTTCAGTGCAAATTCTCAGGTTACACTCTTAAAAAAGATGGTTTTTTAAGGGTTCTTTAGTAAAAAAAATGGTTCTGTGTACAACAGTAAAAACCCAAGGAACCCTATGCATGATTAAAGGATTCTTTGCATCATGAAAGGACGGAGGCTGAACTCTTAGACTCTGAGTTTAGAGCTCCACCAAAACCTCATCCCAATGAAGCTGGGCTCACTGACTGATTCCACATTTAAACTCATATTAACTCATATCTATGATCTCAGAAACGAAGTGTGAGTTAAGACCTGAGGATACTTCGACGTTCGCCTGGCTTCAGCGAACAAAATGGCGTAATTGCAGAGAAAATGAACAACAGCAGACGTCGTTCACAGCAGCTGGGCGAGCTCCACTAACGAAGACACTACTATTATCATCCCAGCCTGACATCCCAACCACAAAACATGATGGTGGGAGTATAACGCTAGATTTCTCCAGGCTTTGGTCCCAACTTGTGAAATGTTCTCCTCAGCTCAGTCCGCAGGTTTTTAGTTGGGCTTTGGGTCGGATGATGTTTATATTTTCATCAGGGATCCATGTATAAGTGTTGCTTATAGAGGCCACAATGTGCTTCATCTCTAAAACATCAACTACAGTCTCAGAAAAAAGGGACCAAACTGTCACTAGGGTGGAACCCTTAAGGGTACGTCTTCAGTACCTTTAGTCAGGGAACATAATTGTACCACAATCCATTTAAATCATAATCACTCCGTCTCTGTTCTGCTTTAAAACATTAAGTCAAGTCAAGTCAAATTTATTTGTATAGCGCTTTTTACAACTGATGTTGTCACAAAGCAGCTTCACAGAAATCCATTTAGGACAAAGTTTCAACATGAAATGTAAATCCTCCAGGTGAGCGAGTCAGGAAAAACTCCCTCAGAGCTGAGGAAGAAACCTTGGGAGGAACCAAGGGTCACATGGGGGGACCCATCCTCCTCTGGTCAAACTACCTACAAAATTATTATACTACTATTATTAATAGTAGTAGTAGTAGTATATTAGTATATAGTATATAGTAGTAGTAAAACATTAGGCTATGAAAAGGTACAAATACGTATCTCACCTCTGGGGGAACTTCTTTAAGGTACACAGATGGATCTTAGGACCATTGTTTACCTCTGAAGGTACATGTACGTTGTTTGTACCTTCATGAAATAAACTGTACCTGCTTTTCACCTTTATTTCTGACAGTGTGCACCTCTGCGGTGAAGTGCATCAATCAAATGCTGGAAGGTCTAACTCTGATTCTTGGAATTCCTGGTTCCTCTCCAGGTTTCTTGGTTCCTCTTAGGGTTTCTCTTTTTTTGCCACTGTAATCCTTTGCTTGCTCATTTGGGGCTTTCAATCAGATTATCTGCCGAGCTGCTTTATATGCCGATTTATGCTATATGGACAAAAGTATTGGGACAGCTACTCATCACACCGACAGGAGCTTTGGTGAGTCCCATTCTAAATCCATATTAATTAATATGTAGTTGGTCCCCTTTGCAGCGCTTCCAATCTTTCTACCAGATGTTGGAGAGTGTCTGTGGGAATTTTCTCCATTCATCCAGAAGAGCATTTGTGAGGTCACACACTGACGCTGGACGAGAGCATCTGGCTCACAATCTCCGTTCTAGATCATCCCAAAGGGTCAGTCAAGTTCTTCCACACCGAACTCACCCAGTCAGGCCTTTATAGAGCTGCTTTGTGCACTGGGGCTCAGTCATGCTGGAACAGGAAAGGTTCCACAAAGTTGGAAGTGTTCAACTGTCCAAAATGTCTTGGTGCTGAAGCTTTAAGATTTCCCTTCACTGGAACTGAGGGTTCTAGACCAACCCCTGAAAAACAGCCCCATATCATCATCCCTCCTCCACCAAACTCTACAGCTGGCACAGTGCGGTCAGGCAGGTAACGTTCTCCTGGCATTACACCAAACCCAGACTCGTCCATCAGACTGACAGATAGAGAAGCTGATTCATCTCTCCAGAGAACACGTTTCCACTGCTCCAGAGTCCAGTGGCAGCACTTTACACCCCTCCAGCCGACACTTGGCATTGCACATAGTGATCTTAGGCTTGTGTGTAGCTGCTCAGCCATGGAAACTCATTTCGTGAAGCTCCTAATGTGCATTTTTTTGCTGATGTTGCTTCCAGAGGCAGTTTGGAGGATAGAGAGGATAGACACTGTGTGCTTCAGCACTCAACAGCCCCACTCACAAACTGACTTAAGGTAGAGGTGGCGTCCTCTGACTGTGCCATGTTTGAAGTCACTGAGCTCTTCAGTGAGACCCTCTACTGCCAGTGTTTGTCTATCGAGACTGTAAGACTACGTGCTTAATTTTATCCACCTGTTAGTAATGGGTGTGGCTAACACACCTGAACTCAATTACTAGGAGGGGTGTCCCAATACTTTTGGCCATATAGTGTATATTAAACATGCAAAAACTCACCAGGACTGGGGGTTAAATATTGCCCTTTTTATGCTTTTTGTCACTTTCAGGTAAAAAAATATTGCTTTTAAATTCACAATTTTCAACGTATTACTTTAAAAACCTGTACTACAACTCATCAAAAAGCCCCCATAACCTGCTCAGTTGATGAGGTATGAAGTGGTTTGTCTGTGGTAGGCAGATAATTGTGTTTCACTTCTGTTCGCGTGGCTTTCTGTCTCAGGAACCCACTGCTGAAACAGTTCCATTCGCACTCATCACACAAGATGAACCTGCCCTTGTTTCTGCTTCTGCTCTCTTACGGACACATACAAGCAACTTATGGTGGTATGTTAATTTTACACATTGGAACTTATAGGAAAGTAGAGATTCATAGAGATCAAATATTTGCAATGAAAAATGTACATCATAATTTAAAGCAAGTAATACTTTAAAAATGTAGCTGGTTGTAAGGGTGACCTGTGAACAAGGCTGTTCTAAATAAGTTTGTTTTATGGATTTCATTCCTGATCTCTTTCAGATGTAAAACCATCCTCCATCTTCACGCTCACTGTCCAGCCAAAAGAAAGCATCGCTCTGACCTGCGACATCACTGACAAGTACGAGGTGGCCTGGTATCATCTGAGCTCCACATTAGAGGAGCTAACACTGCTGATCTTCGCTGAGAAAACTCGCACTCGAAAAAGTCTCCCGTTCTCCTACAATAAAAATGAGAGTCGTTTCGTCCTGACCGCAGACAGCGAGATCACCGTGGCCAACCTTACGATCGTCAAGGTGGATAAGGATGACCTGGGGCTCTACTTCTGTGGGACTACAGCTGAGTGGTCACAGATGCGCTTCGCCAGAGCAATCAGACTACAGTTTAAAGGTTTGTGCAGTTTTTTGTTTAATTTTTGGTAATTCTCATAAATTTTGCTTTTCTTATTGCTTACTGTCTAATTTAGTTATTTTATCTCATTTTAATGTGTTTTCATGAGAAGTTTGGAGGTCTGTAGCGATTGACTCTGCAGAAAGTTGGCGACCTCTGTGACACTATGCGCCTCAGCATCCGCTGACCCCGCTCTGTCATTTTACATGGCCGACCACTGAGTTGCTGTCGTTCTCAATCGCTTCCACTTTGTTATAACACCACTGACAGCTGACTGTGGAATATTTAGTAGTGAGGAAATTTCACAACTGGACTTGTTGCACAGGTGGCATCCTATCACGGTACCACGCTGGAGTTCACTGAGCTCCTGAGAGTGACTCATTCTTTCACTAATGTCTGTAGAAGCAGTCTGCAGGCTTAGGTGCTTGGTTTATACACCTGGAAGTGATTGGAACACCTGAATTCAACGATTTGGATGAGTGATTGAACACTTTTGGCAATATAGTGTATCATTCAGCATTAATGGTGCCTTCACACATGTATATGACACCCATGCCATGTGCACTAATGCTCCCCTATACCATCGTGAATACTGGCTTTTGAACTGTGCACTGATAACAAGCTGAGTGGTCTTTAGCCCGGAGGACACAGTGTCCATGATTTCCAAAAGAATTTCAAATGTTGATTTGTCAGACCACAGGACACTTTTCCACTTCACCTCAGTCCATTTTAAATGAGCTCAGACCCAGAGAAGGTGGCAGTGTTTCTGTATCCTTTTTATATTTGGTTTCTTCTTTACATTTTAGAGTTTAATTAGCATTTGTGGATGCAGTGATGAACTATTTTCATAAACAGTGTTTTTCAGAAGTGTTTCTGAGCCCATGCAGTGATTTCCAGTACAGAATCATGTCTGTTTTTAATGTAGAGCCGCCTGAGGGCCCAAAGATCACGACCAGCAAATACTGGTTTTTGGCCTTGATCCCTTACATACAGAGATTTCTCCAGATTCTCTGAACCTTGATTGATTGATTATGAAATTATAACATTGCAAAAGTGATCCAGACCGCTGCAGGTGCTCTCCTTGTTTTACTCGATGAATTCAGACTGGCACCTTTTATATGAACCACTGAGATTTTTTTTTATTTTTCTGCAATTTTCTCCCCAATTTAGTTGTATGCAATTCCACCCACTAGTTAGGCTCCTCCAATCACATGATACCACCAGCGCTAGGAGGGCAAACACAGGCTTCCTCCGAGTCCTTTCCAAACTGCCGCTCACACAAGTCTTTGGACAGCCGAACGCGCTTGGAGGAAAGCACAAACTGGCAGGGAAAATTTCAGACTGAATCTGTGAAGTGGACACTGGGAAGTCTGGTCTGGAGTTGGGGATTCGAGTCTGTCACTCACCCTTAACTGACTCGCAACATGACTCGAACTGGAGACATGCAACTAAAATTTCCACCTGAGAAAAAAACGCAAACACAACCGATACAATTTGTAGTACCAACCTGAATGTGGTGAAGGACTAAAACCTTTCGTTTCAGACCTCATGTATGCGCCTTTGGTCAGTTTCTCTGCAGTTACGCGCGTTCATTACTGCTATGCTGTCCTCCTGTAGCTTTTAGCACGATGAAGAGTAAACCGACAAAAACCTTCTAGAACTAGAGCTTTAATTCTTTGATGTACAATAGTTAAAGAGAGAGTAACAAACACAGTCCTTATTTGGATTTATTCATGTTAGATTATATGTAGGTGGATAATGCAACATCATAATTAATTTATTTAAGAGTTTCTATGTTTCTAAAATGCTTCTCAGCTTTAATGAACCTTTTTAGACAAACAGTGGTTCCTCATATTCTACCAATGAAAATGTATACACCTAACTGCATAAAGCTGCAGAAAGCACCACAGAAAGACTTACATAAGCAGGGATGCAGGAAGTGGGGGTGCTGAGGGGGCGGCAGCCGCCCAATTTCAGGACCACAGCTGCTTGAAACCATAACAATGCAAAGATCTGAACCTTTTACTGAGTTGAGCACAGCGGTGACTCGTGTGCTTGTATCGTTTGTATTTGTCTATTTTTATTCTGTTATTTTATGGTATTTTATGTTTTCAAAATCTGCAATAGCCATAACTGTTTAAGTCAGTGACGTATTTTCATTATGGTGAGCCGAATCAACAATATGATTGGTCACTACTGAGACCATTTTCGTCCAGAATGACACATCAGTAGTGGGAAATGGAAAAAAAGACAAAAGATTTTTCTTGACATCACTGTTCACATCACGTACACAGTACCAGTCAAAAGTGTCTTTCAATGATTTTTCTTTATGTTTATTGTTTTCTACAATGTTTATTTATATTGAAGACATCAAAACTGGGAAGGAACACGTATGGAATTATGTAGTAAACCTTTTGGTTTGATGATGGCTTTGCACACTCTTGGCATTCTTTCAATCTGTTTAATGAGGTGGTCACCTGGAATGGTCTTAAGGAGTTCCCAGAGGTGCTGAGCGCTTGAGGGCCAGTTACATCATAGCGTTTGGAGGTTTTTGTGACTGCACTTGAGGATGCATTCAAAGTTCCTCATGTCGTAAAGTAATGATGGACCTTTGTTTCTCCTTACTTAACCACTCTAGTGGCTCTTGCCATAATATGGATTAGAAAAGTGGTTGAATAGGGCTGTTCACTGTATAGAACTGTGTACCAACTCGACCTTCGCACAACACGACTGATGGTCTCAAACACATTAAGAACGCAAGCAATTCCACAAATGAACTTGACAAGGCACACCAGTTAATTAAACCATTCCAGGTGATTACCTAATGAAGCTAATTGAGAGAAACCTCTGTGAAGCATAGGAATCATCGTTTGTGCTGGCAGCATTTTTGAGAAATTAAGCATTATACTTTATTACCTGTGACATCACTCAGCAACCCATGAACGTCCATGTCAAAGAAATGTTTCTGCTGTGTTTGTGCTCCACTTGTGCTGTGAAAAGAAATGTTTGTGCTGTTGTATTTATCAAGTTATGGGCTTAAAAATTATTGTTAAATAAGTGACATCACTCCGCCTCCATAACAGTCTCATTCGTATGTGGTTTCTTTGTGTTGATCATTTAAAAAAAAAATTGCTCTTTTAATTCTTATGTACATTCTAATTCTTTATGGAAATCCTTTGAGACTGGTCAGGTCACAGTTAGATTGGGTTTGGAGCCAAAAGGAAATATCCACAAAAATTCCAGAGCGGGATAAAGCCCACATTGTTTGCTGTTAAAATCTGTTGTTTTCTTGGTGGTAATAAGTCACACATTAACATGAGCGCACATGATACACTGAAAGACCAACATGAATGTTTTATTCCTTAAACTAAGTGTAACCTCACAAAACCTTTGATCCCTTGATTTGTTTTGAAAATGTTTTTTAAAGAGCAAAGTAGTCACTTCTAATCATCACTTTCAGTCAGCTCTGCTACTCAATGTGATTATAAAGCTGAATAATTACGGCTGAAAAAGCTGATGACTCAGGTGATCAGGTTCAGCAGCTTCTCAGGAGAGGAAAAGGCCTTTCTCAGATCTTCATCATCATCTAGTGTCAGTCGTGTGGAAAATATCATCATCGCTTGTGACAAAAACGGTTTATCCAATAACTTAAAAATTAAAAGAGCACAAACATTTCTTTTGCTGGCACAAAGCAGCACAAATGAATGAGACTGTTTGGGCGTGATTTAGGCGTTGATGGGGGGCTGAGTGACGCCTCTCATCGAAACTTTATGGCTTTATAACTCAAGAATTAAAAGAGCACAAATATTTCTTTTAACAGCACAAACCAGCACAAACCAGCACAAACGAAAAGTCAGTGGAACATAGCGAGTCTCTCTTGAATACATCAGGCAATATGTTGAATCAGACTAAGCTTGGGTCCACTAGGACCTGAGTGCTGCTACTAGTGTGTATGTGGTGTTTCACTGCACGGATGGGTTAAATGCAGCGGTGAAATTTCCCCGTTTGGGGATTAATTAAGGGTCACTTAATCAAAATATGGAACTTCGCTTTTCATCAACTGATGCTTCAGGAAGAAGTTTTGCAAACAAATCCATGTCAGTTCAGACAAAGGCAGGACGTTTCTGATCAGGTTAAAACTGTTTCCTTTTGTATGCATCATAAAGAATGAAAATGCTGTTCAGGTTTTCTGCCAGCAGTGCTACCTTTTGGTTTCAGTCCAGGGCAGAAAACATTAAGTACTGCCTTATAAAGGGTTCTGACATTTCAGCTCTTTCATACACAGATACAGACCATCCTTCAAGCCCAAAGCCGAAGACAGAGGGAGAGAATGCAGGTAAGAAACATCTTCTGTGGTTTCAGGTAGGAGCTTCACTTCACTTCTGTAGGAAATCCAACCTTCTATGAAGTTCAGCTCCACCTACCACTCACTCCACCTCCCACTGACGTCCTCATGATCCTCACTTCTTTAACTGGGCAGTTCAGGTTTTATCAGGGCTGAAACTGACCTGTGGAGGATGAGTTAGTCTCCAAGAGCAGGGCTGGGCTCTCCTGCCTTACACAGACAGTGTAGGACCTCTAGTGGCAACAGCAGGTATAACCTGTGTTAGAAATCCCCCCCTGGTATTCGGGGGTCCTGTGTTGTCTGTCTGCTAACTCTCTCTCCATAGCGGCGCTGATGCTTCAGTGTCAGTAAATGTTTGTTTTATCAGTTGTTCTTCTGTAGAGTGTCTGTTCTAGTGCGGTTCTGCGCTCTTCCTCACAGTAACTGAGATCTTCCTCGTCTCCTCTTCTGTAGAGTCTCTGTTCTAGTGCGGTTCTGCGCTCTTCCTCACAGTAACTGAGATCTTCCTCGTCTCCTCTTCTGTAGAGTCTCTGTTCTAGTGCGGTTCTGCGCTCTTCCTCACAGTAACTGAGATCTTCCTCGTCTCCTCTTCTGTAGAGTCTCTGTTCTAGTGCGGTTCTGCGCTCTTCCTCACAGTAACTGAGATCTTCCTCGTCTCCTCTTCTGTAGAGTCTCTGTTCTAGTGCGGTTCTGCGCTCTTCCTCACAGTAACTGAGATCTTCCTCGTCTCCTCTTCTGTCTTCAGTGTGAGAAATGAGGAACAGTCACTCTTCACTCCAAACTCTTGGGAAACTGGGCGAATTTTCAGATTTACAGATCTGTTTTTCAAATAAAGCTGCTTTTCCACCACATGGTACCGGCTTAGCTCGACCAGACTCGACTCGCTTTTGGTAGCAGCTACTTTGTTTTCCACTGCAGAGATAGATGTAGCTGGTTGTCATAGCGACACCACATTAAACTACTGTGACATGAAGCAGACGAATGCTGTTCAGAAGAGGCAGCGAGACAAAACACTGCTGAAAAAACAGGAGAGTTCAGATGACGAGATGATTCTGGCTGATCAAAGGCGACGCAATAGGCTATGCTAACCTGGTAGCTAATGTTAGCATATGTGTTTAGCCATTTTCTTTGACCAATCAGCAGTCTGCTTTTGGTATCGGCCCAGCTCTCTTGGAACCTCAGCGGAGCTAATATCAAAAACATGCCTGATGGAGAACCAAAAAAGGCGAGTAGAGTCGGGTCGAGTCCAATCACCATGTAGTGGAAAAGTGGCTTTTTCTGTTTTTCAGAGGAATCCGGGCAGAGTTACAGTTTCTAGGCTATGAAGGACAAACTGGGTGAACCAGTCTGCTACAGCGCCACCTTGAGGCCGAGCAGAGCTGCAGCTCTTGTTAGTTAAGATCACCAGAAACTCAATCAAAGAAGCTGATTGTGGGGGAAGCAGATAAACAATGAGCTTTACTGAATCTGGATTTGAGAGTCTGTTTCTCTAACAGACAGTACAATAAGAATATTTCCAGGGACCCTCAGAATTTCTTTGAGACATACAGGGGGTCCAAGAGGGTAATTAGGGGGTTCTGGACCTTATTATTCTAGTTAGCTGATAGATGTTCGTAAGATGCTTATTTACGTCTTTAGTCACTTCGTTACATTAATCTCTTCTTCTGATTCTTGCTCTGTGTCTCTCTAGGTGAAGAGAGTTTGGTGGAGAGGGTGCTGATGCTGGGTGGAGTTGGTGTGGTTGGTCTGGTCTTTCTCGTGGCTACAGTAGCTGCAGGAACAGTGATCCACAAACGAGCCTGGCAGTCGGGCTGGGCATCAGGAAGAGACTCCTACCGGCGTTGCTCTGAAAAGAGGTGAAGAATTGAGTCGTGTTGTGCCAACTCACGCCCTAAAGAGCATACCACGCAATAAATGACCCTGTCGTGGAAATTTATTAATAAAACAAGTTTATTTACAGTGTATTCCTGTTATTAGTGATGCATTTTACCCAGTTAGTGTTTCAGCTCAGTTCAGTCATTCGAGAGGCTGTTAAACTCAGTATTTAACCCCTTAAAATCTCAGGCTTATTACATATCATTATCATAATCGAGATCACTGATTATGATAATGATAGGTAAAATTAATTTCATGCTGTAAGACAAGACATTGTTGAAAATGATCCCTAAAAAGATAGAAAAACATTCTTTAAGAGCTAGTAGCTAACTGGATGTGGTTCCATTAATACCAGTACACCTGGCTGTGTTAATCCATTATAGGTGTAAATTAATGGTTCCTGCACAGTTTATGGGTTCCTGCCAAAACAAAATTACAATATACTGGAATCACTTTTAATATATGACATTTTTGTATATTTGTACTATCTAATCCAAATTTATGCTTGTTAAATATTTTGCACTTAAATATCTCGTTTTTAAGATTGAGTTGGTGAAGAAGTTCTGATCGTAGCTTTGTTGCATGTTGGTCACCGTAAAGCACATGATGATGATCACAATAAGATCGACAAAAAATTTTGTTCTAATTTTTACTCTCTGATAAGCTGTGTTTGCATGTATTGTACAAATCTGCTGTATAATCTGATTAAACTATGTAACGTTGGATCTCTGTGTTTTATTTAAATCAACAAGCACTGATAATAAGCACGTTCAATTTAAAAATATGTATTTTAATACAAGAAAGATACAAAACACAGTTTTTAAAAGATCATTTTATCATTTTAAACACGAGACGGCCCTGTGTGAGAAATGTAACACCATGAGACCAAGTTCAGCCTTGGTCTCATCAGACCATCACATGGTTTCCCACATACTTTTGGCAGGCTTGATGTAGGTTTTCGCAAAATATATCCAGGCTTGGATGTTTTTCTTTGATAGAAAAGGCCTCCGTCTTGCCACTCGACCCCACAGCCCAGACATATGAAGAATACGGGAGATCGTTGTCGCACGCACTACACAGGCCTCTCGGCAGCCTCCCGGACCAACTTTCTTCTGGGCTTTTCATCCATTTTTGAGGGACGTTCAGTTCTTGGTAAAGTCACTGTTGTGCCAAATTTAATCCACTTCACCGTCTTCACTGTGTTCCATGGTGTATCTAATGCCTTGGAAGTGTTTTTGTACCCTTCTCTGACTGATACCTTTCAACAATCAGAGCCCTTTGATGTGCTGTAAGCTCTTTATGGACCACGGCTATTGCTGTAAAATGCAACTAAGAAAATTTCAGGAAAATCCTGCTGAACGTTTATATGGGGTTAAATGATGGCAACTGTGTACTGACTACTATTTAACATGAGTTTAACTGTGATTGGCTAATTCTGAACACAACCACATCCCTAATTATAAGAGGGTGTTCACACTTATGAAACCACATTATTTTAGTTTTGTTATTTTTATTTTCCCCCTCTAAATGATTTCAGTTTGGTTTTTAATGGAACTGTACAGATTATGGGTCACATTGAAGCTGGAAATAAATCTGAAATGATTGGTCTGATTTTTTTTACATGACACAAAACTTGGCATTTTAACAGGGGTGTGTAGACTTTTTATATCCACTGTACAACATTCCCCACTCCTAAACCTGACAATATACATCAAGGATTGCAAGGTCAGAACCCACCAGGTACTTCATGCATTCAATATTCCATTAAATAAATCTGGGACTGTATTACAGAAACTTCTGTTCTGTAAAAGTCTGAAATCTTATCTGATGTGTTTGGTCTCCATAACGACTTCAAGATCTCAGACGCTGCAGACTCGATCTCCACCGCCCCTCTGATCACCTTCGTGTGTTAATGTTGATGATGAAATATTACAGTGATGGTGGTGAATAATGAGGAGACGGAGCTGAACGTGTGTCTGTTTATTAGGAGGAGTAACGTTAGCGCGCTCGGCTAAAGCGTTTGGGAAATGGAGACTGAAACTGGGGAGCGGCGATGCTCTGATAAACAGCAGGGGGCGCTCTCACAGCATTCACAACTTACAGTTTATCACACTTTAGTTCTGTTTGACCTTTTTTACATCAGTAACGGCAGCTTAACTCACATTTTAACGTTATTCTCATGATGTGTTTACGTTTCAGCTGTGTGTGTTTGGTCGGTTGCAAGGAAACAGACATGACAGTTGATAGTCGACTTCAATCGAGTAGGTTAAGATTTCCTAACTGGAGATAAGATGCTGTGAGATAAGATTCCTAAATTAAGATCAGATTTGCTTCTGGAATACTGAAAAAGCTTATCTTGACCTGTCAGATCTTCACTTAGGAGAAAGAGGTAAGACGTTTCTGTAATACGGCTCCTGGAATAAATCTACTTAAGTGAGGACATGTTCAGCCCTGCTGCACCTGGAGTTTTAAACACCTCAGTGTCACTGCTGGACTGAGAATAGTCCACCAACCAAAAATATAAACAAACTGTGCAGCAGCAGATGAGCTGTCATCTCTGACTTTACATCTACAAGGTGGACCGACAAGGTAGGAGTGTCTAATAGAGTGGACAGTGAGTGGACACAGTGTTTAAAAACTCCAGCAGCACTGCACAACAGCACAACACACACTGACACACCACCACCACGTCAGTGTTACTGCAGTGCTGAGAACGATCCACCACCCAAATAATGGTGTGAGGGTCCATGGGGGTCCTGACCACTGAAGAACAGGGTAAAAGGGGGCTAACAAAGTATCAGAGAAACAGATGGACTATAGTCTGTAACTGTAGAACTACAAAGAGCTGATAAAATGGACAATGAGCGTAGAAACAAGGAGGTGGTCAGAATGTTATGGCTGATCAGTGTATAGCGATTGATGATGAGTTTAATTACTTATATGACACTATTACTGAAAATGTACATATATTACTGCCAATTCTATAAGGTAACTGGTGACACTTTATTTTGGGTGGTTCCTTTAAGATGAAACAAACACTCAACAGACTCTCAGTAACATGTCTAAAGTATATCAGGGTCAGGGTCAGGGTGAGGATTAGGTTTTGGGTTGAGGTGTATTCAGATGCTTCACTACTGCTACTTTACTGATATGTCGTTAATGTGTTACAGATAATCTGTTAAGAGTTTATTAATCATCTACAAACGACCCCTCCAAATAAAGTGTTACCGGTAACTGTGCCAGGCGCCCATCCCCCAGGCTCCACGAGAGCCAGCAGGAAGGCAGGACCCGAACACTGACCGCAGACGACAGCCTGCAATGACCGCGGGAGTGGAGGATGATAATCATAAGGGCTTGGGAGGAGAACACCCAACTCCTGAGCCGCACCTTCCTGAGCACTGCCTCCTGTCCCACAGTGAGGCCACTTTAATAGACCTTATGTTGGATCCCAGTGGCCAAGCTGTGGAGCGAGGGCAGAACCAGTAGATTTTATTTTGACCTTGGCTTTGGTCCTCCCACTGCCCTTACTGGAAGCCAGCTGAGGCTGATTGGGCTTTGGCAGCTTAGGAGCCTTTCAACAGAGCAGAGAGGGAACCGAGAGTGAGAGAGAGATGGACGAGCAGCAGCAGTGAGGAATGGCATGGGAGGATGTGAGAGAGAAAAGGGCCTGAGAAGTCTAGCTTAGAAGCCGGGAAACGTGGAGTTTCAGTTTTGTTTGAGTTTTATTTGTGAAAATAAAGTGAAGCCCGTCTCTCCTGCCTCCAGTGTCCCTCCTCCACCCAGGGTAGCACAGGCTGTACTACAGTAATGTAAGGGGCTGCATGTGCTGAGAAGCTTTATTAGGGGCAATGCAACATGTGGTCACCACAGGCAGGGGTCAGAGAGCAGGCAGGCAGGTGCTCACACAGCTAATCCATCAAACACAACCCAGGAAAAGAAGAAGCGTCAAAGCACAGGATAGCACTAACTAAGGGATAAGACGGCTCAGAGCTCAGCTAGAAGGTTTAAACGAAGGGATGTATGTATGTTTACATCTGTGAGTAATGAAGGAGGGGAGGAGCCAGACCTGGTCCCACTACAGTCTCCCCAGAGGAGGGAAACACTGTGATAGATAGCTTCTCTGAGCTAAGGGCTGCAGTCAGAAGACAAATGATCAATAAATCAGTAGTCTGGACAGACTGGGCTATTCCTTAAAAACAAACACCCATAATGCCATTACAGTGCTTTAAAAACACAGCATTCCAGTCCTGTGATTATTGATTAATTATATGCGATTAGTTATTGGAGTTTTTGCTAATTTTACTTGAGATAAAAATTTGAGTTTCACCAAATTATTAGGCAGTTAGAGAGTTTATCTGCATACTTTTCTTAAAGTATATTAATGTTATTTGTTGAGTTTTTTATTGAATTGTTGAAGTATGCAGTAGTGTGTCTCTGTAGAGGGTGTGTTCACTTATTCACACTCAGAAAAACAGCACATCCATGGGTATTTCATTTATGTATGTATCTCCAGCAGGTGGCGGTGTGCACCTGAAGACCAACAGCACAACAGCTCAAGGAATTTGGGAAAGTCCAGGAATTTCTACCTCGCCTGATCTGTAGCTCAGGTCCTCCGTGTTCATACAGACAGAGCTGAGCAGCAGGTAGATCCACATGACTGCCAGATCAGGCAAATCCAGGCAGGTCAGAAAGATAACAAGGTTTATGATCAGGACTCAGTCCAGGTGATCAACCTCCTTCCTGCTTGCCTTGATTTCACATCAACCGACACCGTGAGGGAGCCGAGGATCTCCAAATAACTCAGAATGTGAGGACTGTGCTTGTTTTTTTAGCTTGTCTCGTCTGTTGAGCTACATTAGACATCATGTGTCTGTATGTATGTAGTTTTTTTTAACTAGCTGGCTGATTCAGTAGAGAAACACGGTTCTGATCTGAGCTGCGTCCTCAAAAGCCTCATAAACTTTGTTCATTAAAACGTCACTAAAGCCTCAAATCACTCAAACTAACCACTCATTCAACACCTTCCTTACTGAGAAACCAGAAATGATAGGTGTGACATCCGAGAGTTAATGGATTTTTTTTTTTTGCCAAGTTGTGTGCAAAAGTTTGTGCATCCCTGGTGAAATTCTATGTTGTTGTTTATGAGTGTGAATAAGTTAACACATCCTCAACAGAGAACACACTTCGCACATTTTAATGCACAGTTACTGTTTATTTACTGAACTTAACGTATCTGCTAATAATGTTAAATATGGCCTGTGCAAGTTATGGCTCATATTATTTTTCCCCCCAATATGTTAAACTCAGTATAGAAATGGTGTAGAATTAGCAGAAAAAAAATGCCGGATGTTGTTTTGATGTGTTCTCTGTAAAGGAAGGGGCCGACTTATTCACACTTAGAAAATCAACAACAACATGGAATTTGAAAGGTGTTTTACAAACTTTTGCATTGAACTATATATACGCCTAATGATTTCTACACAATGCAAAAGTCTTAGGTACCTGGGCAAATTTACATGGGCATGAAGTGTGCTAGTAAAAACACTATATACAAACACATAAAACAGTAAAAAGCTAACACACATTTCATATTTAAAAAAAAGTCATTTGTCACTTGTGAGCTGGTTTAAAGAACAAAATTAAAAACATTGACACAAAAAAAATCATTACTTTCTGTGTTACTCATGTGTTTATTCAAACGATAGTGGTTTTTTGATTGAATAAACACTTAATGGCCAAATAAACAGCTTTTGAATCAGTGTTTTTGCACAGTAATAAAACAGGAAGTCTTTATTTATCTAGCACCTTTCATGCACCAAATGAAGCTCAACATGCTTTACAGTAAAAGCAACAAAGAAAGATAATTTAAAAAAACAGAAATAAGTAAACAACAAGGAGGGATAAGTAAAACGATAATCATGAACAGAACAACAGTTAGTAAAAAACAACAAATAAAAGAATTAAGGAAGAAGCACAAAATGCACAAAACAGTGAGGGTCGTATAAATAAAAGAACAAAGCTGTTTAAATAAGAAATCAATTTTCAAAACAAAAATACCACAATGGTTAAAAATAAATAGAAAAAATTAAAAGAATAGATAAATAAACAAAATTAACAAAAAGACAGCATTTTGTCAATTACATGCTACGAGTTAATGTTTAAAGCTGCACTGTGCAAGATTTGGGGATTTGGAGCCCTCTCTGGTGGAAATGTGTAACTACACGCAGGGTGCAGAAGAACATTCTGTAGTGTGGGTTGTTCTTCCCTGAGTGGATGAATCTGTTATTGAAAGAGAATCAGAGAGAACCCAGTCTAAACTGGGTGAAGAAGCGTCTTCTGAGGATGTGAGTGAATTATCTACTACTGTCATCACATCTTCATCAGTGTGATGTTGATTCTGAGATCGTTTGAGGCCGAAACATCGAGCCGGACCGTCTTTTTGAGTCTGTGTGTGACGTTAATACGTAAAAACGTACAACGTGGTGTGAAAAACTTGACATCTCTGACTTTTAAATGATTATTTCAGACTCTACAGGGCGACTCACAGCAGCAGCAGCTCACACCATATTTTAGTGTGTGCACAGTGCAGCTTTAAGAGTGTTAATATTTGTTAGAAAGTATCAAATACAGTATATTTTCCATAGACACAAAACCCACAGGTATCGTAGATTGAAAAGAATCTTCAGATCAAATTTCCAGCAGATGCTCACAATATATAAAAATAATTTTCTGATTACAAATTGTAACTACTTTTCACAGGTCAATGAATATATGTTACTCTTTTTTATCAGATTAGTGTTACGTTTTCTTTTCGTCTTCTTACTCCACAGGTCCTCAAGAACATTTTCCATTTTCCTCCTGTTTGCCGTTACTTGTCCTGGTGAGTTTTTGTATTTTTAAAACACACTCTATGGCCAAAAGTATTGGGACATGCCTCCTATTTATTGAGCTCAGATATTTCAGACACACCCATTGCTAACAGGGACAAACTCTGGCAGTAGAGGGTCGCACTGAAGAGCTCAGTGACTTGAAATGTGGCTCTGTCATAGGATGCCACCTCTGACACGAGTCAGTTTGTGAAATTTCTGTGAGCAGTCATTTGATCCACCACTTTGGAAAGTACTGGGGTGAAGACCCACTGCGTTTTGAGTTATGATGGCATTTGTCATAAAGAAATTAAATTAGACAGAGTGCTGACCAATGGGCACAAACAGAGAGAGAGTTAAACTCATTGGCAGAACCAATCAGAATCTCCATTTCAGCTGGGGAGGTGGTATATTTCCGGAACAGTACAGTCTTCGTGAGTTGGTGTTCAGTGAGAGGAGCTGCAGTTCACTGCAGTAAAAATGTTTTTACTGCGATACACAGGTTAATTTGCACTGACACTTTATGTTGGTGTTTAAATATTTCTTACTGCTACTTTGCTACATCATAAGCACTTTCAGATCTACTATTGTTGCTGCAGACCTACTGAACTTCTTCTTTAGCTCAGTGAACACTCCACCTGTATTCAGGTCTGCACTGAAATAAAAATTCAGGAGGGGATTCAACGCCAGAGCGCATTTTACCTCAGTGCACATCAGGGCTGTGCTGTCTGCACAATCTGCCCGCTTTGACAGTTCACACTACAGGTGCTCATATTGCTACTGCAGCAGCTGGAACACAAAACAGTCACTATAGCAAAGTTATGTGCTTGAATTTGGCTCATGGATCACAGAACATATTTTTGGCCAAGCATAAGTGATGTGTTTGCTTACATTCTAATTGACAAACCAATATCAAGTATGATTTATTAGTATTGCTATGATTGTGATACATTCTTTTTCTATTTTTTCTGATGTTATAGTGGCAAATACGAGAGCAACAGAGTTTGCTTCCCTGCACAATTGGTACAGACTTTTAGAAAAACATGCTATTAGCATGATAAAAGAGGTGTTGTAGTCAGTGGCTTAATTGCAGTTAGTTTGGTGTGGAGGAACTCCAGTGGCCTGCACAGAGCCCTGACCTCAACCCCACTGAACAACTTTGAGATGAACGGGAACGGAGATTGTGAGCCAGACCCTCTTGTCCAGCGTCAGTGTCTGACCTCACAAATGCTCTTTAGACTGAATGGGCACAAATTCCCACAGATACAATCTCAAAATCTTGTGAAAAGCTTCCCAGAAGAGTGGAGGCTGTTATCGCCACAAAGTGGGGGGACTCCATATTAATGTCCATTGTTTTGGAATAGGACATCCAACAAACCCATATACACTGATCAGGCATAACATTATGAGCACCTCCTTGGTCAGGACCCCCATGGACCCTCACAGAGCAGGTATTATTTGGGTGGTGGATCATTCAACACACACTAACACACCACCACCACGTCAGTGTTACTGCAGTGCTGAGAATGACCCACCACCCAAACAGTACCTGCTCTGTGAGGGTCCATGGGGGTCCTGACCACTGAAGAACAGGGTAAAAGGGGGCTAACAAAGTATCAGAGAAACAGATGGACTACAGTCTGTAACTGTAGAACTACAAAGTGCTCCTATATAGTAAGTGGAGCTGATAAAATGGACAATGACCACAGAACCAAGGAGGTGGTCATAATGTTATGCCTGATCGGTGTAAGCGTGATGGTCAGGTGTCCACATACAGGCAGGTGATGCACAGTGCCTGATTTTCTCCAGACATAACGCTTAGAATTGAGGCTAAAAAGTTCAATCTTGGTTTTATCAGACCAGAGAATCTTGTTTCTCACAGTCTGAGAGTCCTTTAGGTGCTTTTTTGTAAACTTCAGATGGGCTTTCATGTGTCTTTTACTGAGGAGAGGCATCTGTCTGGCCACTCTGTGATTCTCAGTGTTACAGCAGCAAAGAGAGAGCGAGGCAATCAAGAAAAGAAAAGAAGTAACAAGAAGAGAATAAAGTCTGGCTAACGTCCTCCTGTCTCCCACCATCTGCACTGGGTCTAGGGGGCTTCCCAGGACAGAGCTGGCCCTCTTAAGGAGTCTGTCAAGTCTCTTCCTGTCCGCAGTTGAGAAACTGCTGCCCCAGCAGACCACTCCAAAGAAGATGGCTGATGCCACAGCGGTGTCAAAGAAGGTCCTCAGGAGCGCCCCCTGCACTCCAACAACCTCAGCCTCCTGAGCAGGTAGAGTCTGCTCTGGCTTTTCCTATAAAGTGCACTAGTGTTTTCTGACCAGTCCAGTCTATTGTCAGGTGAAATCCCAGGTATTTACAAGAGTCCACCATCTTCTCTGGATGTTCACTGGTGGGGGGAGGTAACTGCATCTGTGGAGGTCCACCACCATCTCTTTGGTTTTCCCCGACGTTGATCAGGAGGTGGTTCCTCAGGCACCAGTCCACTAAGTCCTGGGTCAGTTCTCTGTACTCTCTGTCATCCTCATCTGTAATGAGTCCAATGATTGCTGAGTCAGAGAACTTCTGTAGATGGCAGTTTGGTGAGCTGTACATGACGTCTGCAGTGTACATGGTGAAGATGGTTGACCTTCTGGAAGTTTCTCCCATCTGCTCACAGGATCTTTGGAGCTCAGCCAGAGTGACCACTGGGTTCTTGGTCATCTCTCTTACCAAGGCCCTTCTCCCCTGATTACTTAGTTTGGTGGGGCATCCAGGTCTAGGAAGAATCCGAGTTGTTCCAACCTTCTTCCATTTAAGAATTACGGAGCTCACTGTGCTCTTGGGAAATTTCAGTGCAGCAGAATTGTTTTGTAGCCATCTCCAGATCTGACCTCCACACAGTCCAGTCTCTGAGCTCTACAGGCAGCTCTTTCCTCCTCTTGGTTTTTGCTCTGATAAGCAGTGTCAGCTGTGAGACCTTATATAGACAAGTGTGTGTCTTTCCAAATCATGTCCACTGAATTTACCACAGATTTTGAATTCACCTCCAATCAAAGTGTAGAAACATGTCCAAGATGATCAGGAGAAATGGGAGGCCCCAGAGCTACGTTTCACGTGTCACAGCAAAGGGTCTGAATATGAGAAAATGTATTTTTTTCCTGTTTGATAAATTTGTAAACATTTGTAAAATTCTGTTTCACTCTGTCATTATGGGGTATTGAGTGCAGATTGATGGGGAAAACCTGCTTTCGCATGAGGCCTCAACATAAAATGTGAAAAAGGTGAAAAGGTCTGAAGACTTTCTGAATGCGTTGTGAATATATTTGTTTAATTTGCTCAATAAAAAATATGAAAGATTTACTTTTATTTTTAAAAATGTTTTATATTTAACAGGGAAAAGACATCCCAGAATAATAATCCACTCTATATAAATCAATAAAAAATATATACAGAAACTGTGAGAAATTTCATATCATAATGATAATGTTAAGTTTTGGCCATACTGCCAACTGCTATGTCTGTCCATGTCCTTTTTAAATGTTATATCTTTCTTCATTTAACTCTTCTGCAGGTCACTGTACTGCAACTGAAACAGTTACTGCATCAGCTGGTGAATGCGTAGCCCTGCCCTGTAAAATGCCAAACGATTTAATCCTGAAGAAACCACTCTTCTGGTGGCGCAATGGAATTGGGGTAATTTGTGAACTAACTACAGAAAAAGTTGAAATTTATGAGGCCTTCAAGGGACGTGCAGAGGTTTCTGAGGAAAAGCTTAAAGATGGAGACTGCTCGCTCGTCCTGTATAACGTCACAGAGTCTGACAGCGGGAAGTACGGATTTTACGAGGTGGGACAGAAACAAGAACCACTACTGCACATGGATCTCTTTGTTAAAGGTAAGAACACATGATCTTCATAAGCTCTATGCATGAACAAGATATAAGCACAGTGTTTAAGCAGTATAAGCAGTTATTCAGTGCTTTACAAATGATAAAAAACAAAGATAATTTAGATTTAAATTTAAAGAGGTGTAATGAAAATATCACAGAAATCAAAAGCCACTTGAAAAGCACAGTTATTGCATCTTTTTTATATATTTCGATTTTAGTTTTTTTAATTTTAAGATTAAAAAAGAGGGGGCTTGTGGCATGCACCCGTACCCCAGGCCCTGATGACTGCTGCGAAAGGTCAGAAGCCGAAAGGAGTTCAGGACTCGCGCACCATCCCCCACTCTCTCGCAGATTTCCTCTCCCCACCATCCTCGTGGGGCTTCTTCCTCACTCAGAGTTCGGGCCCCACCTTCTTGACAGCTCTCGCGGTCATCACTGGGGCCCGGGGACCGGCGCATGCCACAGGGCTGTCTTGTGTTTTTTTGTTTTGCCACAAGAAAAAAGGATGATAACAGTGGAAGGGAAACAAACATGAGTTTAGGTCTCTTTTAAAACATTTAGGAAAGGTCTGTGTACACTATTAGGGGTGTGCTTATTCTTGTAGTTGGGTTCTCGTGGTCCAGATCAAAGCAGAAAATGATACACTGCTGCATTTTAGTTCTGGTTCATTTAGTGTGCACACTGACACATTTAACATCAAACCAAAATCAAACAAAAGTCATACGAGTAAAACTGATTGAGCTTATTTTATGACGTACAGTAACTGAGATGATGAACTGCGCTGTTCTCTGTTCTATCTGGGCTCGCTGGTTCTATTTACATGATGTTAGAACAGTAAGCCGTGAGACCCCCTGCGTTACCATGGTTACGGCTCAGAGCAGGTGAAATCCCTTTAACAGCCTTGAGTAGCTTGAGAACGGAGAAACGGAGAAACCTTTGGAACATTAATACAGAATATCTATAATGTCTAATAATAATAATAATAATAATAATACCTAACACAAACTAACACACCACCACCACGTCAGTGTTACTGCAGTGCTGAGAATGATCCACCACCCAAATAGTACCTGCTCTGTGAGGGTCCATGGGGGTCCTGACCACTGAAGAACAGGGTAAAAGGGGGCTAACAAAGTATCAGAGAAACAGATGGACTACAGTCTGTAACTGTAGAACTACAAAGTGAAACTATACGGTCAGTGGAGCTGATAAAGTGTAGATATAAGGAGATGGACTTCATGTTATAGCTGATCGGTATATAGTATGTATTATGGTATATTATAATGGATGACGGATCTTTTCTGTTTAATAGTATTTTGTTCATGGTGTTAATGTATATTCAGAATAAGGGAACTACATAAAACACCTGTCTTACAGCCAAGGAACCGACTCAAAGCCTCACTACAGCACGTAACCCGGAAAACCTGCTACAGCAGACCAGCAGCACCAGCTCAGCTCCTGATGGACAACATACCTGTAAGTACAGCAGTCGTAATCAGGCAGTACTGATCTTCTCAATGCATTATGGTTTCTAGAGGCTACAGCTGGTCTATTTCACAGAATCAATAGCAGGTTACAGTAGTTCACTGACAGTAAGATAAAGGAGTGGCTGAGTGCTGTAAATAGAACGTGTCCGAGTCTCCACAGACGAAGAACAGTAAAGAAATAAAGAAGAGTCTAATAAAAAGCCTAAGATGGTGAATCAGTGGCCATAGTTCAGATGGGAGGAAGGAGGTGAAATACAGACCCAATTAAAGATCAGCTTCATTGTTTTTAATGAATATTTCTGTGTTTTACTGTCAAACAGTAATTTTACTCTTCATTTCATGCAGCTGATTGGAAAACTATAGCAGGATCTGTTGTTGTTGGTGTGGTGATCGTGGCGGTTCTTGGAATTCTCGGAATCATTTTTTGTCTGTGTAAACGGAAGAAAGGTGAGTTGGGTCACACAATTAGAAATGTTCTAGATAAGGGTTCTCCAGCTCCAGTCCTGCAGGTAATACTATCTACTAAACACAAAGTACAGATGATGAACTGCTGACTTGAGTGGTGTGTCTTTGAGCAGGAACCTAATCAAACTGTGCACCAAACCAGACCTCCAGGACCAGAACTGGACCCCCTGCTCCAGACGATACCCTGATTCAAGGAAATTCTGTTCTTTAAAATTCATACTCTTGATAATTTGGTTATGTGAACACTGCAAATCCATTTGAATAACCAGTACTTTGACCTCTTTTATGAAAACGCACAACTTAATATCAGAGCCACAGGAAAAACTTTATCCAGCTAAATGTTCACTAATGAGCAGCAGAGCACAGTAGCAGAGCGGAGTGTCTCAGGAGAAAGATTCAGTGATGTCTCCATGTTGGTGGAACCCCTAGACTGTTGGGGACAGCCGGGTATCAGCCTGTTGAGTTTCCATCCTAAACATCTGGAGAAATCTGTGATCTGAGGAGATAATGTGGGTTTTAGAGCCAGCTGTAATCCAGTTTAGCTTCCAGCTGCTCTGGTGTGCTAGCTAGGTAGCATTCTCTCTGCTTCATTCATTATCAGACATAACAGAGAGTGTACAGGCCAGTGATCTGTCCAGAGCAGAGGGGACCTCAGATTTAGAGCGTAATCCTCTAAAGTCGGGTCCGAATCAGAGTGAAAACCTACTTTAGCTATTAGACCCTAATAATGAATAACACGGTCACTCCCCCATTCACTGACAGGTCCTGACCGAAAGTCGTGTTTTCTTGTTCATAATGGTGAATAAAGAGACGCTGTTTTCTCAGCTCCGCTCTGCTCACTGCGGACAGTTCAAACCGCTCTAGTGACCTGATCAGTGTTTACAGACTTTTCTAATTCTCTCAGATTATTCAGTATTCAACATCACGTTTGATGGAATATTTGGAAATGAAAATACTGGACAGCTGCAGCTGTAGATCACTTCAGAATGGACTGTCCTGTAGAGGCTAAAGGAAAATAGCTGTGTTTCACTGATATTCCTGATATTTTCTTGAATATTGACTCTTTTTGTGAGTTAAGATCTCATAAAAAAGCAGATCTTCCCAAATCACCTTCACAACTGTAACAGAGCTGTTTAAAAGTCTCTGTTGCTCTGAGGTCTAAAACAGGCTGGTGCAGGTGCAGCGATGCCTGTTAGGCCTTTATTTCTGCTCTTGTTAAACGCTCTTGTTTAATGGTCTTATGGTCATTGTATTGCTCTGAGATCAGTGTTAATTTTTAATGTCTGTCACAGGAAGAACATTGACTAAAGCTAACAGAAGCAAGGATGATCCACATTTATCAGAGTCCATACAACTGAATAATTCAGAAAATCCTCAGAACTCAAGGTGAGTATCATTGCAGGTTTAAGCACCTCGAGAGTCCATGTGACATTATTTTATCATTTCTAATGCAGGTGTAATAAAGACTACATTAAACAGTCATCACTGCTGTATTTATCACTCTGTAAAATCTAACAGTGAAACCTTTAACTGCAGAGATCCAGAAGTTTAGACCCTTCATTGACGTGTGTCCAGTCTACAGGCTGTCCTGAAGACCTGGATGATGAAGAACGAAGGAAAAAGAATGAAGGAAAGGTCACTAGATAGACTGCACATCAGAACACTCTCATGAAGGCTTGTTCGTTTGGACATCACTGTTACTGAAGGAAGGAAAGTGAAGGAAGATCTTCTGATGAAGACTGGCTCTGTTCAGGGAGCCTGACTGGACACTGTGAGAATGAAGGACACTCAGTGAGGTGAATGACTCTCGTCCTGCCTGTACACTGAGACTGAAGGGAGTAACAGACTGATTTTTTATTACATTAAATAATTACATACAGGGTTTTATTAAATAAGGGTTCCGTTTATTCATATGTCTGTGTTTTTCTATCTATGAGGTATTATAGATTATGGAGCAGTAAGGTTTGTGTATAACAGATTGAGGTTATACCTCATTAAATTATGTACTGGGACACAGACTCTCGTTGGAGGTTCTTTGTTCTGGTTTGGAAGCCTGAGCTGGAATGTTGATGGAAGGTTTATGAGAGCAGTGAGGTCAGTAGGAAAAATGATTTGTACAGGGATTTAAGAAAACAGATGAACTGGACACTATTCCCCCTCTCTGTTTCCTCTCTGATCATCTTCCATCAGTTAGTGTTGAAGACTGAGCGGCCATCCCGGAATGGTCATCCAGAGAGTCACCTTAGACATTTATGTAGTCACTTAACTAGCTGATTAAAATCCTCCCACCCACTTATGAACAGAAGGTAGTTTAGCGTGTGATGTTACATGCAGTATCTCTCTGACACCAGCAGAGGGCAGTAAAAGTCAGATAGTCTAAGAAACTGGACTGAACTAGGGCCTTCACATGAGCTGTAGAAACGATTCCAGGTACATACACACCAGGGTAATCTGACAGCGCCTCCTTCAGGACTCATGTCGTATAAATTTACTGCTGTTGAACAAAATCAACAATTTCTTTCCTCTTCCAGTCTCCAATGATTTATGGTGAAATGTTTAATATGAGCGTCGTCTCTTCCTCAAAAAGTGTCAACTCTTTTTCTTTTATTGGTAGATTATGGTTTTAGTCCAGGGCAGGAAACATGAAATATATTAATTTAGAAAGTGTTCTGACCATTTCAGCTCTTTCATATACAGATACGGGGTCATTATCTTCTCTGAAGTTCAGCTCCACCTACCACTCACTCCACCTCCCGCTAACATGGTCCTCACTCCTTTACCTGGGCAGTTCAGGTTGAATCAGGGCTGAAACTGAACTGTGGAGGATGAGTTAGTCTCCAAGAGCAGGGCTGAGCTCTCCTGCCTTACACAGACAGTGTAGGACCTCTAGTGGCAACAGCAGGTATAACAGGTTCTGGAAGACTTTCATACTACAGAACTGAGACACCTGGTGGAGGAGGTTTACAAAGCTCATTGACCTTGAGTGCTGTGACCTGTTGGTGTTTGTTTGTACAGACCTCCACAATAAGATCACAGAGGAAATTAAAATGGCCTGTATATCAGCAGATGTCATCAAGGTTTATTAATCAGTTAAGTGCCATATCCTTTTCCCCCTTGATGAATCAGCCCACTAGGAGAACAGAAAATACTAACAGAAAATATTATCCCTAACATAAACGCAGTATCCAGTACTAATGGTGCACTATATGGTGACATTATTGATCATCTTTCATACAGTGAGAATAACAATATAAACACTAACACATCCATTAATTACAACTGTACCTGCATTGAAGTTGTAACTCAAATTAATACACAGAATGCTTACTCTGTATTTAGAGAGATTATTATTTAATCATTCATATCCATACATAAGGAAACATCAGGTGTGCCTTGTTTGCACTGGTATCAGCAGAAACCTGGTGAAGCCTCCTAAACTGCTAATCTTGGTGCTAGCAGTAGAGATTCAGGTGTTCCGGATCATTTTAGTGGCAGTGGATCTGGATCTGTCTTTACTCTGAATGGTAGCATTCTCAGCACTGCAGGGACACTCATGTGGTGGTGGCATGTTAGTGTGTGTTGCGCTGGTGTAAGTGAATCAGATCTGGATTCTGGATCTGGCTCTTTAAAGTTCTCTGAATCAGATACATAACATTTATACAAGTCTTAATAAATGATTTTTTTGATTGAGTTCAGGGAGGGCATTTTCTATTTGGGTGTTATTTTATTAGGTATTCATGTGTTTATTTATGGACATGTTTAAGGACTGTCATATTTCTGATGACTAAAGAAAATCTTTGTGTGTTTTCATGCATTTTCCCTCCAATAAATTCTATGAAATCATATCTTAAAAAATGAAAGAGAAATAAACAGATTTGTTTCCAGAAAAGAAATGGCTGCTCTTTCAGGAAAATGAAAATGACACAATAAAAAACGAAAGAGTGTGGAAGAGAGCTTTTTATAGTGAAACTCTTTATTGTGATGATGAAATGATGAATATCTATATAATATCGTATTTTAATAAAAGATTCCTTTTGAATAAGGAGTAAAAGTGTACTTACTTCCAACTGACAGTTTGGTTCCTCCACCAAAAGTCAACCACAGTGATACAAACTCGTTTACTGGCTGTACAAAAACCTCCTGCTCTAAACACGCCGCTCTCTTCAGCCTCTACACGCACTATTTCTGACCTATAATACAATATTAATGGATTCTACAATCATCTAATAATGGAATAAACTACACACTGTAGATCTACACACGTTCTGCCTTTTATTCCCAACAAGGATTATTTTATAAGCAGGAAAACATCTAAACTGAGGACACACTTGGATCTTCTGAATTTATCCAACAAACTAAACTTCCTAAATATACACTTTTAAATCTATAAAAATGCTAAAAAAATAAAAGTTCTTCTAAAAGTATTAGTTTAAAGGTTCTTAATGTTTTCTTTGTGTTTCCTCCACCAAAAAGTCCTCCAGCCCTGATACAGACAGACTGGGTGGCAGTCGTAGCTGCAGAAAACCTCAAATGAAAGGCAGAGACAGTCAGAACTGCACAATAAGAGATCGCCCTCTGCTGGACATTTAAGGGAATATTTCACTTCTAATCTCTCTAGAATTAGACAAGCCTGGCTGAGCTGAAGTAGCTCCCAGCAATAGTCTCCACTACTGACCTCCACAAACCTCTGTGACCCCCTTATTTTTCCTCTCCACTTAATGCCTTAAGGATCATCTGGGGGAGTGAAATGTAATATAACGCTCAAATCATTCTGTCTTCTTTCAGAAAACTCTGGTGGGAATCAGAAGAGATTTCATTTTCCCACATCTCTATAAAAAGCTGCACTTTAAACATCAGATTCCACACTGAGCAGAAATGTCTGATCAAACAATATCAGATAAATATGATCGTCTTTACTCAGTGTTGATAGAAAGATGATTTCCATAGAGGCTCCACTTTGCATTATCAGCCCATGCTTCAGTGCTCTGCTAGTGTTTATAGTCCTGTGAGTTTAACACTTCATGACTGAGAGCTGCTGCCCCACAAACTTCACCCACAGCAACCATGACTTTGGTCTCCATCTTCATCTGGACACTGACCCTCTGGACTCAAGGTAATTTCTGTAAATCTATATTTTTATGTATCCTTATGTTCTGTATACTTTTTAATTATGCATTTCAAATTCATGTATATTTTGTTTTATATTTTTCTCAGGATCCAGTGGTCAGGTGACTGTGACTCAGACTCCTGCAGTGAAAACTGTTTCTCCAGGAGACTCAGACACCATCAGCTGTAGAACCAGCACTGCAGTGTACACTGATATTTTCGGTGCTCTTTTAGCCTGTAGAAGTCATTGTTTAGCCTGGTATCAGCAGAAACCTGGAGAAGCTCCTAAACTCCTGATCTATTTGGCTAACAGTAGACAGACAGGTGTTCCAGATCGTTTCAGTGGCAGTGGATCTGGATCTGACTTCACTCTGACCATCAGTAATGTCCAGACTGAAGATGCAGGAGATTATTACTGTCAGAGTGTTCATGAGATCAGTAGTAGCTATGTGTTCCCACAGTGTTTAGTAGGTGTACAAAAAGCTCAGAGCTTTAGTGGATTTTAGATCTGATACTTTTTTTGCTCAAGTTGTACTTGTAGTTTTATTTCTACTTCAGTCATTATTTCACTGAAGTATCAACACCTTTACTTGAGTATGATTTTAAGCTGCTCTTTCACACTCAATGCATTTCACACTGCACGACTTACACTGTTCTTCCCAAGAGTCTAACTGGATCTGATGAAAATAGTGGTCAGTATCAATTCAGAGATTCTGCAAATTTATATCAGCACTTTATTCGAGACTTTAGTAATATTACCATTTCTTTGACCACGTTACTTAAAGGCAACCCAAGAAAACTTACCTGGACAGTGCAGGCTGAGGAGGCTTTCCAACCTCTTAAAGAAGCATTCACCACACCCCTATTTTGAAACACCCTGATCCTGCTAAAGATTTTATTG